ATCTATGACAAAAAAGCAAAGGCAGGTAAAATAGTCTTCAACAAATGGTCCATAAACAACTAGATATCCACATGCAAAAACAAAAGGATCTAGACATATAATTTACACTCTCCACAGAAATGAAATAAAAATAGATGGTAGACCTAATATAAAGTTGGAAATTATAAAACTCCCAGAAAGTAACAGATGAAAAAAATATAAATGACCTTGGGTTTGAAAATGACTTTTTAGATTCATCAAAGACATGATGAATGTAAGAATAATTGATAAGATGAAGTTAATCAGATTCAAAATGTCTACTTTGTGAAAGACACTGTCAAAAGAATGAGAAGACAAACCATGGGCTGAAAGAAAATATTTACAAAACACATGATTAAGGAATGTATCCAAAATATACATGGAACTCTTAAATTCAGCAGTAACAAAGTAAAAAGTCCAATTTAAATTGGGCAAAAGATCTCAACAGACATCTCACCAAAGAAAATATACAGATGGCAAATAAGCATATGAAAAGTTGTTCCACACCATATGTCATCTGAAAAATGCAAATTAAAACAACTAGATACCACTAAACACCTATTTAATGGTCAAAATTCAAAGCACCAAATGCTGGTGAGGATATGGAACAACACAAACTCTCATTCATTGATGGTGGGATGGAAAACAGGGCAGCCACTTGGAAAACAGTTCAGGTTTCTTATAAAGCTAACCATAGTCTTACCATCAATCTTTCCAGCAACTACACTCCTTGGTATTTAACCAAGCGAGTTGATAACTTATGTCTACACAGAAAACTTTACGTGGACGTTTATAGCAGCTTTATGATTTCAAAAACTTGGAAGTAATTAAGAAGTCTTCTAGTAGGTATGTGGATAAATACTGCAGTATATCCAGATTATGGAATATTATTTAATGTTGAAAAGAAGTGAACATTTAAGCTGTGAAACAAATTTGAAGAAAATTTTAAGTCTTATTACTAAGTAAAAGAAGCCAATATAATAAAGCTACATACTGTATAATTCCAAATGTATGACTTCTGGAAAAGGTAAAACTATGGAGACAGTAAGAAGGTCGATGTTTTTTGTAGGATCGTGGGGAAAGGAGAGCTGAGTACAGAGGATTTTTAGGGCAGTGAAACTACTCTGTATAATAATTATATGTCATCTGTTATTACATATCTATGGACTTTCTAGGAAAGTCATAGAATGTACAATACTAAAATAAACTATAAACTGTGGTGACAATGATATGTCAGTGTACCTTCATTGATTTTAACAAATGTACTGCTCTGGTGTGGGCTGTTGATAGTACAGGAGGCTGTACATATTTGGAGATGAGGGTATGTTAGAAGTCTCTGCACTTTCTGCTAATATTGCTGTCAATAAAAAACTCTTCTAGCCCAGCCAGTGTGGCTCAGTAGATGGAGCATCCCATGGACTGAGAGGTCCTGGTAAAATTCCTGGTCAGGGCACATGCTGGGGATGTGGGCTCGATCCTCAGCAGGGTGCACGCAGGAGGAAGCTGATCAATGTTTCTATCTTCTCTCTCCTCCTCTGTCTAAAATAAATCAATAAAAACATATTTAAAATTTTTGTTTTTAAAAAAACCTCTTTAAAAAATAGTTTATTCAAAAAAACTGTCATGGGCCTTTAAAAACTCCACTATGAAATTCCAAGTGTCTATCTACGTGCTTCTAGCAAAAGTTGAGGGCACAGCCAGCAATTAAAACATAATTTACATTAAGTTAAAAGATAAAGTAGCATTTTAAAAGCAGCTGCCATTACTTTCATTATTTATTCATAGGGTACTGTGTAATTGCAGACTTGTGCTGAATAAAGACAAATGTGTTCTCTTTATTAAAACCTTACAGTCCAAAGATAGAATGAAAATTTAGGAACAGCTTTAATTTCTTAGGATCATCAAAGTAGTCATTCTAATGGAAAGAAGGGAGTCCAAAAGACTCTTGTGTGGATTAGTCTTCTTATACATTTGTATGTATGGTTCTCATACCTAGTGGCATACTGAGAAGAACAAGACTATCCTCAGTTTGGCCCGAGTGTTGGCCTGTATGTTTTCTGTTAACTTGGCAAATAGGAATGCATATTTCATGAATCTAATAATATTAGACAAATGACACTAAAGTACACTTTAAACACTAAATTGTTCCAAGATGGGAAGGGAAATCTCCTGAGTTTCACTGAACCATTATCCATCAGTCAGAAGTGTTTACCTCAATATAAAAGTTGCCATGCTTAACAAATTTAGAAACAGTAGCATTATACAATTCAGGCATTTATTTATTTATTTTTCTCTTCTAGATATTTAAATATGCCTTCTGTGTTCCTAGTACTAGTACTTGGTATGTTTTTCTTCTGCTATCGGTGAGTTTATTTTGTTATGTTAAGGCCAGATAAACAGTTCTCCCTACTTTAACTTAAAGATAAGTGCATGAATTAAACACACTTTCCTTTTGAAATTTTTCTTGTTGCAGCTTTCCTTTTAAAGGAGACAGCTGACATTGTGAAGTTGTAGAATATTAAGGTCATTCTGAAACCTTTGTCCCACTTACTCTTCCTTCCCGCATTCTGCTCCCATAGTGCAGAACTGCTTCAAAGGGCCCCAAAGCACCAGGATTTTATTTCTCTCAGAAGTCACTCACACTCTTTCCTCTGCTTGCAGTGTTGTTCTATCCTCCCTCCACCTGGCTTACTCCTTAGCTTTACAAGTCCCAATTTATGTGTGCCCTCCTCCTGGAAGCTCACCTTCCTTGCTGCCCAAAACATAAACACTCCATCTGCTTCTACACGGTAGCTTACCCAGATACCAAGAATGTGCCTCAAAGGCTGCTGTTAGTCATGGCGCCCTATTGCAACTTACTTCTTTTACAATCTGCTGGCTCTGAGTGAGTGAACTTCAAGTCTGCCTAGATGCTATATTTTAATCATCTGTATGTTCACATGTTCCACATTGCCTGGCCCATTGTAATTGCTCAAGATATGTTGAATAAATTTTATTAAGTGATGCATATTACACCATCACCATCAGTGAGTGGTGTTTTATTTAAAGTCCAAAATATATTTTTTTATCGTTTAAAAATCAAAAGTTAACCTAGAGAACTTAGCATCCTAACCATGCATTCCTATGTCCTCTCTTTCCAAGTTCCCAATTAACTTAAATAAGCTGTTTCTTTCTTGCAATTTCTCCAACTTGAGAAGCCAGTGCGATAGAGATGCACTAATGCAAGCAGGATTTGCTTTCCAGACATCAATAAACTTGAAAGGCTCCCAGCAGGCCACTTGTAGTGTCAATAAAGGCTCATAATTACTTGCTCCTTTGAGCATTTTAGACCCAACCCCGTCGTTTGCTCTGTTGTGAATACAAGGAGCCTTCAAAACTGAGAAGTTAACTTCCTAAACCTTAGGTAAAGAATGTCAAACATGGGTGGGGACCTGATTACTTTTTGAGTGAAGCAGCTAGATATTACTTCAAGCAGTCATGGGACTGATAACTCACCACTCCTTTTCCTGCTGCCCTCCAGCATAGGATTGGTGGTGAGCCTCACCATTTCCTGTTCGTGGAGGTGTAAACCCAGAGGCCAAGAGTGGGTGACCACCAGAACCAATGCTCAACTTAAACAAATAAGAAATTCAGTTGAAAAATTAGGGGTGGAGGTGAGGGTGGGAAGAGAAGAACTACAGGATCCTGCCTGTAGATTGGTTAAAAAAAATCCTGGCCTCCAGGCACTGTCTCTTCAGAGGGGTGCCTCTGGACCCATGCACCTGCCTCCTGGTGAAGAGCCATATCAGGGCGTGGGACAACCAGAGCCACAAGCCTCTCTCTGGGCGAGGGCAGGGACCAAAGGACAGTGGAGAAACTGAGGACTGGAACCCAGGACTGGACAAATGCACCGGCCACATAATACAGTAGAAGTGAGGAAACAGTAGGAGGGAGGAGAGGGTGAAAATCAGAGGATAAATACTTACCATTGAGACTTTTTAAGAAGAGCTTGTCCCTCCCTCTCTCCCTCTCTCCCTCCCTCCCTTCCTTTCTTCCCGGTTTCCTTCCTAATTTCTTTCCTTCAATTATGCGGGTGTATCTGTGTTTTTTAAAAGGTCCTTGGTTGCTGCTTTTTCTCAGAATCCTGTTTCTCCTCAGTGAAATTTAAGAGAAATTGAAGTTTCCTTGACTTCTGCGTGAGGAGTTTTCAAATGACAAGGGAAGAGAGTCACATAAATATCCATAAAGTGCCTAATGACAAATCTGTCATCACTTGTTTCCTACAGGAACCTGAATGGGGGTCGTCATCCACCACCCACCCTGGTGGGCAGTAGACTAATCGGTGCTGCATTTATACTTTCCAGACTGAGCTGTCCAGGGATTACAGGACGTCCTCTTTCTGCTCCTTTGCCCTCCCCCCGCCCATTTACTCTACTTGGGAGGCGTGGATGCGTATTTGCGCGCATGTGTATGTTTGCAAAAGCTCTTGAAGATGCGAACCTTCTTGCAATACATTCCCAGGCCTATCTGTAGAATTTCTCGACTAAGAAACCTGTCTACTCTGTCCGCGGCAGAAGTGCCCTCTCCACGCTGATACGGACAGACTATCACAGCGCTTCCCAGTCCAGGGAGCTGACCCTTCGCTGTTCTGGGAAAGCCGCCTCACTACCTCCTGTGGCTCTCCCCGGGTGTAAGAGTGCCAGTTCCTGTGAGTGTGTGAACGAGTGTGTGTGTGTGTGTGTGTGTGTGTGTGTGTGTGTGTGTGTACGACTATGGGCTTGTAGGCTTCCTCTCCCAGCACAGCGCAGGCAGAGACTGCAACGTTACTCTCCTAGACGCCGCCAGCAACGCGAGGCAACAGCAGCCTCCGCCTCCTCAGCCCCGTGATTGGTTAGTTTTGCTCATCATTTCCCTGCTAGGAAAAGGGAAGGGCCAGTGACGCCCCGTCTCCTTCAAAGCATAAGGTGTCTAGTCTTTAAAAGAAACCCGAGCCCCGGGGAGGCAACGCGCAGCGACCCGGCAGGGCTGGCGCGAACCGCAAGGGAGAGCGCTGGTCAGTGCTGGAGCACCAGTGTGAGCGTGGCCGCAGGGGACCCTCGCGACCTGCTCCTGAGAGCCCGGCTCCACGCTCTCCTCGCATTTTACAGATAACGCCCCCCACCTCCTGCGACTATATCTCCCCAAACAGAGCTTGTATATCCAGAGAAGGAGCAGGAGCTGGGGCAACCACTACTTTCCCAGGCACCCAAGATGCGCTCCATTAGGAAGAGGTGGACGATCTGCACGATAAGTCTGCTCCTGATCTTTTATAAGACAAAAGAAATAGCAAGAACTGAGGAGCACCAGGAGACGCAACTCATCGGGTAAATGCAAAGCTTCATTTCAGGATATGATTAAAAAAAAAAAAAAAAAGTCAAGCTTGAAATGCAATGTGAATATAGACAATAGAGTGAGGGTTGAGGTACTATGTGTGTTCCTAGGAGCTTGTGTGTGTTTAGTCTTGTGAATTAAATAACAAAGGCAGTTGTTGAGGTGTGTGTGTGTGCTTCTCTAGGCGTGTTCCTAATAAGAGTTCAACTTGCTGTTTGGTGGCGGTGGTAGTGACAGTTGCGTTGGAGCCCGGGCTCCCGCGCCAAAGGGGAAGTCACTGCAGAAGTGTCAACAAAGAACGTGTGCCCTTGTCCTTTTGATTCGTGGGCAGAACTCAAGCGAGATATTTTTATTCACCATCTAGTCGCCCTTCTCTCTTTCTCTACCTTATCAGAGATGATAGAAAAAAGCTGGCTTTCCGAAAGGCTGAAGTTAAAGCTCAGAAAGCAGGAAATGTGTCTCTGCTCTGTCTTTACTCTTTTTCTTTGTGGGGTAGATCTGTTATCTTAGTTTGAATTAGAAACTCCAGAACAACCAAGTATACTTTCTTATTTGCTCTTCCGTGGATAAAACGCATGGGCGTCAAGGTTACAGTTTTAGAAACGGACTACTGAAGCTTCAAACATACTATATTTCTTTTTTTTTTTTTTTAAAGTTTGTCTAGATGAGTCTAAAATCTTCCTCCACCCCAGTAAGTTCTCTAAATATCACACTTCCTTCCTCCTCGCCTCTGGCCTCTGGGTCTTTGAAGTTTACTCGTGAGGGTGGCTGCAACTTTGTGTTGCTTACATGGCTTCGAAGCGTTTTCTGAGGATGTGAACCTGGTTGTCAACTGTGTTCAAAGTCCTGTTTCGGAAATCCTCCCTCATCCGGAGGCGTCTGCTGTCGGAAACTCCACACTGGCAAAGATGCCCGCTTTGTTTTTATTTTCCTCGGCTTTTATTAAAACGAAGATAGAATCCTTGCGTGTGTGTGTGTGTGTGTGTGTGTGTGTGTGTGTGTGTGTGATAGGACTGTAAACTGTGCACAGGCACGCGAACTTCATGCACTCCATTTGTTAATATTCCTTCTCCTCCCTAAGTAATGAGCATTTAAGTGAGCAAGACACAGGCTTACCCTTAGGGAAGGAATTGCTCTTTTATAGAAAACTAAGATAGGCAGAAGTACAGTGGAAAGAAACTGGAAGAGAATGAAAAAGCTAATAAAGAATGGTCTGGATGGTCGCAATGCATCAACAAATCTATGCTGGGGGTGGGAGGGGAGGATGCCGAACTGTGTGATGAGGTCGTTTACACTTGGAGTGGGTGGGTTGCAAATGTGACCTAGCTCAATTGTCAGAAAAGAAGGACTTTGGGCGGGGGTTGTGGGCGTCCCTGGCAGACCTGTGCTTCCCAGGCAGACAAAGAGGTCTTTGGGAAGGTGATGAACCGGTGCGTGGGGGAGAGGCGGAGGCTGAGGTGTGGGGGTCGAGGCTCTTTGTTCCCTTCCGGGCTGGTGGGCTCCGAAGACAAGCCTGAGCCCAGACAAAGCGGCCAAGGCTCCCCAGGACTCTGAGGGTTCGGGCCCAGCGCTCCAGACCCTGGATAGCAGGAGTGGGCGGGAGGAGTGAGGCGAGTGGAGGCGCCACATGCTGCCCAAATGCCCTCTCCGGGCCTCCCTAAACCCCAGCAGGAAGGAGGCTCGCACCCGGGTCGAGTCCCTCCGGGGAAATAAAAAACCCGGGACGCTCCACGTTTCAGGGGACATTGCTCCTGCGGTCCTTTCCCGGACATCGCCGACCCGTGGGCGCTGCCCAGGGCGCTGGGGAAGAGGGGGCGTCCTGGCTGGCTCGGCTGGGTTTCGCTCGCCCCCTTTTCGGAGTGAGCTGCTGTTTCTTCCCTGCTCCCCCAAGAAGGCCTGGGCGGGCGCTGGAGTTCATCGCCGGGAAGGGAAGCGTGCGCTAGGTTTACCCCCTCCCCAGAGCAGGCGGCGAGGGTGGAAAAATGGGTGAGAAGACGGGGGACGCCTTTTTACAGGAATCAGGCCCCTTAAAAGAACATCAGTTTTCCTGCTTGGTCCGCCACCGTGCTCCTCCTCCTTAATTAAAACCCGCAATTACAGGTGTGTGGGGCGAGGCAGCGAGCCGGCTGTGGGCGCTGCGCCTCTGCTCCTGCCGCGCAGGGTCCTGGGGGCCGGCCGTCGGCGGCTCTTCCTGACACCTAGGACTTGGCGCTGCCGGCGGCAGGGCGAGGACGTGAGCCCCTCAGCACTCTTTCCCTTTCGCCTCAGGATGAACGTTCAACGGAAAAGCCTGTGATATGAGTTAATGATTTCATTTCAACTCCCAAGTAGTGATTCTGGTGAAGAGATTGACTCATCAGAACACCATGTCGTTGGCTCTACCGAAGCCACGTGGAGGGGTTAGTTTTGAGATGAATGAACTAGAGTGGAGGTTTGACCCCAGAGCCCAGGCCAGTACTTAAAAGTGAGGGAAGAGAGGCAGTCTCTGACCTTTGGGGGGCACTGCGTGCCTTTTGAGTGGGATGTCAATTCAATTAAGGGCCTTCTATATTTCTCCGATCTTAGAACATACCCCTGGATTCATATTTAGCTTCCCTGCTACCATTTTTCAATAGGCAGACAGTTTCTTTGTGTGTGGGACTTCTGCCTCTCTTCACTGAAGGTCCCATCTACAATCAGTGCAGTATTACTCTTATAGACAATGCTGAGCAGTCATTCCATGCAGAAGGGAAGGGAACACCAGCACTTTTCCTACCAACCATCCACATTCTCATTTGTCCACAGGAACACTAACAGCATGGTTTTTGTAATGGACTGTTTGAAAATAGATCAAGTAATTATTGGACATTTAAAACTGAAATTTCCTTCCATGCAACCTTTTAATTGCTCTGGCATGATGACTAATTAATAAAGTTGAACTCAAATAGCATTGGGGGTTTGAAGTGGTCTATTCTTGACTGACATTTTTCTCAATGGGAAAATGGCACTCGCCTCACAATTGGCTCATGCTTTCACTGATTCTGTGTGTGCACTTTGGGTATAATCGGCAATGTGTTGTGTCCTACCGATAAAAAATAGGTGGGTATGCTTATTTAATGAAATAATATATTTGAGAGAATAACAGACCTTTAATATCATACACATGTTTGTTTTGTTATTCCTTAAAATTTGCCACATACCATTTTCCTGGTTGACCACAAATGCAACTTTAACTTACATGTCTTATCATCTAGAGATCTTTTTGACAATGTACCTTATGTTGTCTCACCAGTACTAGTTTTCAAACTTATGGCTGAATTGATTGTGGAGATAAGCTTTCACACTTAGAGTATTACCACTGTCAGCAAAGTTACTTCCAGATTGTTCTGGGGTAGAACACACTTTGTAAAGCAGGAAACCCAGAGTCTGTGCTTTACTTTATATGTTACATTTGGAATTCTGCTAAAAACCATAAAACAGTAAGTTAAGGTAGTACATCTCTCATCTTTATTTTTAGCTGTTTGACACTTAGGTAATGAAAACAGAAAACTGCCTGCTGTTTGTGTTCAGCTTAGTTGGATGCAAGTTCTTTTCATTTAAATGACTTTGAAAATTTTATATTAATGAGGAGATTTAACATAGTCCAAAGCAAACACATTCATTCCAAAAATAAATCATAAAGAGTTTCTTGGATAGGGTGAATGGAAGGCTTTTGGAAACTAATTTCATGAAACAAAATTAATCCTTTTTGTTATATACTGCAGAATTAATAAATTGTAGTAATGCCTGACAACTCATATTTTAAATAGAAAAATATTTGTAAATATTAGTAACATAACTAATGACCAGTTTCTGTCGCTAGTGTTGCATAGATGACCATTTAAGAGGTTTTCTCTTAGCGCATAGAAGCAGGAAAACTTTATAATATATACTGCTTTATGCTACATTATTTCCTTGATGTGTCTTATAGTTTTCCCTGTAGACATACATATTGAATCGTCCTGTGTATAGCCCTATACAAATATTTTCAGTGCAGCTGTTTAGCAATCATGCTTGATATGGAATGAGAAACTAGTCGAGGGGGTGGTAACATCCTTCATGCCTCGCATTCACCAGAAGGAAAAGACTTTTCTAAAACAGAATGCTACCAAGGTCACAAGTGAAAAATCCCTTGGGAGCCATTTAACTTTATACAAAGAAATTTGTTCCAGAACCTTAGATTACACTAAACCAGGCCCTCTCACACAGGAATTTCATTGACTTCAAGAAGTTAGCTAGTTATAGCTGTTTTCATTCAAAGTCCTTTCCAATGATAAATATCTGAAATTTGGCTTATCACAAGTTCAATGAAAATAATTCAAACAGCAGAGTAACATAGCAACATTTCATTAATATGAAACTGATTTAAACTTCAAAACACCCTTCTTTTAACTCTGAAGGGTTCTGAAAAGGCTCCATTAGGGCTAGGTACATCACAACAATCATTCTGGTATGTAAAAATGTATGAGAATCTTTATTAGTAAAGCAATCTTTCATGGGAATTTAAAAATGTCTGCCCATGTATCTTTTTACTTCTCCCATAAAAGTTTATTGGTGGTAAAAATAATTATTATAATCATAGCAATCTGTGGTTAGAAAAAAAGGTGATATTGGCAAGCTAGTTATTAACAAGATGAAGATTGAAAAGATTCCTACCCTTAGAAATGGTAAAAGTTTGTGCCATACTCTAAAAGTATATCTCCAAAAGTGTGAAAATTAACTTCTGTGTATATCCACATTTTCATTCATATGTAGTTATTATCATTAGATATATAATATAAAAAGTGACTTCTGGGCCACTGAGTAGTACTTCTGGAACACTGAGCTCCCTATGTTTTCTTGCATCCTAAATGACCACTATAAAATGATTATTATTAGCCATGCACAGGCATGACAATGTATTATTTTCATCAGTAGAATAGTTTAAATATTACTTTTTACAAAGTTCTCCATTTTACAGGGAGTAGTTGCATGTGATGTTTTGAGTTGCTTCAAATTGGAAGTACATGTTTAAAAAAGAATGCAGAACAAAATACCAAACTATAAGCCTCCAATTATAGAATTTATCTAACAGCTGTTACACAAGCAGTGTTTCCATTGATAGTAGGAGAGGATTGCCTATGTAATAAACACAGATTGAGCAAATAGTCATGTTACTTTTTAATTATATTTTTGAGATTCAAAAAAATAAAAAAAGTAATATGTAAAGAAATAAATGCAAATGTAGAAAGGGCTGTGCCATAAACAGGTGGGTTTTAGATTCTCTAAGCCTGGGTTTACATCTATAAAGTATCAAGAAAATGGTTTTGAACAATGAACTAGTTTAGCTATTAGTGTTGATGTAAATGCAATCATAGGTACCTGTCTCCATCATTATTTCCAGCATCCCTGCTAGTATCATAACACATGGTACAGTGATACCTCGGTTCTCGAACATAATTCGTTCCAGGAGGACGGTCGAGAACCGAATTGTTCGAGAACCGAAGCAATGAAACCCAATAGGAAAGCGTGACTCCACAAAGCGTGACTCTCTCTCTGCACTCACACTGATGACGCAAGCAAGGCGCGCTGGGCCGAATGAACGCCATTCGGCTCAACTCGGCTCATCTCGGAAGTTCGAGTTCCAAATATTTGTTCGGATTCCGAGACAAAAGTTTCTCGAATCTCCTGGTCGAATACCGGTTTGGTCGAAAACTGAGACGTTCGAGAACCGAGGTATCACTGTATATTTGACTGACACTATTGATTAAAGAGAGTAGCACAGTTGGTTCCTTTAATATAATAGATAATACCATTAATAGTGGCTACTCAATGAGCTTTCTCCCCAGTATAATCTCTGTTTCCTCACCACTACCAACTATCATGTAAAGTGTCTCTTGTTGAGATGACTCAAGGTAATCTTAGAAATTAGCATGTCAATAGTTCTTTACAAATTACTTTCACATTTAGGGTCCCACTTAATCTTCATAAAGTCATTGCAAATTAGATCATGTTATTGCAGTTTTCAAGTTAAGGTAAAGATTTAGTGGCCTAGAAAGAGAATATTGTCCAAGGTCATACAGGCTAGCAAGTGATAGTATCACCAACATATCCAGATCACCTTATGTGCCAAGGTCTTCTTTAAAACAAAAGCTCTTTCCATTATTGTATGTGCCTTCTGTGAAAATAAAATTACAACCTTGGGAGTCACAAGTATACAGATGCAGAAGAATTGGCAAAACATCCTGTCTCCATTGTCTGAACACAGTGAGGGGGGGATGGGTTAAACTGGAACAGAGCTTTGATGAGAATTTCTTTTTTTAAATACCACAAAGGCCTTTTTTTTTTTTTTTAACCTTTTTTCAGTATTTTTAATTTTTTTTAAATCTGGGTAACATAGGATTATGTTGGTTTATGAGGGGCTATGTTGGTATATAACATTATGTAAGTTTCAGGTGTACAACGTTCTAATTTAACATCTGTGTACACTACAGCATGCTCACTACCAAAGGTCTAGTTTCCATCTTTCACTATACAATTGACCCCTTTTACTCATTTTACTCTACTCCCACCCCTTCCCTTCTGGTAACCACTATTCTGTTGTCTGCACCTATGAGTTTGTTTATACTTTGTTTTATTTGTTTGTAATGGTATTCTTCTTTCCACATATGCGTAAAATCATATGGTATTTTTTTTTCTTCATCTGACTTACTTCCCTTAGCATACATAATACCTTCAAGATCCATCCATGTTGTCACAAATGGCAAAATGGAATCTTTGCTTTATGGCTGAGTAGTATTCTATTGTGTGTGTGTGTGTGTGTGTGTGTGTGTGTGTCTCAATCCCACCTTCTTTATCCATTCATCTGTGGATAGACACTTAAGCTGTTTTCATACCTTCTATATTTCAAATAATACTGCTATAAACATAGGGGTGCATATATCTTTTCAAATTAGTGTTTTAATATTCTTTGGATAAATACCCAGAAGTGAAATAGCTGTATCATCTGATAGTTCTATTTTTTTTTTTTAATTTTTGAAGAATCTTCATACTGGCTACATCACTTTCCATAGTGGCTACATCAATTTATGATTCTACCAACAGTTTACAAGAGGTCCCTTTCATAACATCTTCTCCAACACTTGTTATTTCTTGTCTTTTTGATAATAGCCATTCTGACAGGTATGAGATGATATCTCATTGGGGTTCTAATTTTCATTTCCTTAAAAATCAGTAATGTTCAACTTCTTTTTCATATGGCTGTTAGCCATCTGCATGTCTTTGGAAAATGTCTATTCAGATGCTCTGCCCATTTTTAATTGGGTTTCCTGTTTACTTGTTGTTGAATTGTATGAGTTTTTTATGTATTTTGGATATTAACACCTTATAAGATATATAATTTTCAAATACCTTTTTACATTCAGAAAGTTGCCCTTTTGTTTTGTTGATGGTTTCCTTTCCTGCCAAAGGCTTTTTATTTATATGAAATTGGCTTTATTTAAAACAGAATAAGTGTAAATGATTGTTCTGATAAAATCATATTCACTTAATCTTTTTTTTTTTTTTTAATCCTCACCCGAGGATATTTTTCCATTTTTTTGTACAGATAGAGTGGGAGGGAGAGAGAGAGAGAAACATCGACGTGAAGGGACACATCGAGTGGCTGCCACCCGCACGACCAACCAGGGCCGGGGACAAACTGCAACCGAAGTACGTGCCCTTAGCGGGAACCGAACCCTGGACTCTCCGGACCGCAGGCCGACGCTCTAACCGCTGAGTCAAACTGGCCAGGGCTAATCTTTATAATAATTTTATTATGGTCATTTAATTTCTTTTATAACAGGTAGAAAAGTTGTATCTGCAGTTTTTCACTAGAAATCTAAATCAAATGATGTATTACACTACTTAGACAAAATGCTTCTTACTTTCACAAAGCTGGCATTTTTATTTTGTTTCAGAGATGGTGAACTGTGTTTGAGTCGATCCCTTGTCAATAGTTCTGATAAAATCATTCGAAAGGCTGGATCCTCAATCTTCCAGCGCTCTGTGGAAGGTTGGAAAATCAATTCCTCTTTGGTCCTGGAGATAAGGTGAGTTTCTTTAAGAAGGCATAATACATTTCACATCATGTTCTTGAATATGTTGGGCTTGAAAAACTTATATTGAATGCTTAATTTATAGTTTAATTATGAATACTTTAATATAAGAGTGAACCAGTTCTACCAAATGTTACTCACTGAAGAATATGAAACCTTAAAACTGAAATCATTATACAGTCAGGAATTTAAAGATGAATATGTGAGTTTGAATATAACTGTCTTTATACTAATGGAATAAGATATTTAAGTGACTACTAATATTTAACATACTCTTCTTCACTCAATTACTCAGGATAGCCATATATTTTGTGAATTATTTTTAATGTCCCTATTAATGTCTTCATACTAATTTTGAGTTTTCTCACACTAGATGAAAATAGAGCCTATTCAACTCCCATTTTGCTGACAATTAAAAATAAGTATGACTTACTCTATGAATACCTATTCCTATGTGAGCTCCTATAATAAAAATCTCAAAAATTATATCCCAAATAGGTAAAAATCAAAAAATAAACTTTCTATAGTACTTATTCCTTCTTTGTAACATTTTAGCTGAAACAAGCTCTTGAAAACAAACTTGATAACTACATATATTCATTATTTCTTGTTTTCTTCCATTATAATCCTATTACTGATAAGAAAGTTAGGGTCAGACCTTCTAAATAATGGGGGAAGCAATTTTTCTCTATAGTTACATTGCTGTGTTGGTCAGTAGGATGTTTGTTGTTGTTTTTCAATTTATCTTTATTGTTGAAAGTATTATAGATGCCCCCCCCCCCAAGTTAAGAGTATTTTAGTAATCAGAACTTGTTTAAAAGTTCAAGAGAATGACCATCCTTTACATAATAAAATCACTGAATATTTCTAGTATTGATAAAATGCTAACTATTCAATTACTGGATATTAACACACATTTTTAAAGCATAGTTAGTGATTAAAAGGATAAGCTGCTGATCTGTTTGGGTTTGTACCACTCACTTCTTGAATCATACCCATATATAAGGTAGATTATAAGCAAATTAAAAGAAGAATTTGCTACACTCATATTTAGAGTATGCATAGCAATTCATAGAATTAATGACAGCAAAGGCACTCACATGTTGAAATATACTTGAAAGAATGTCTGGAAATTAAAGAGATGGCTCAGGCATATGTAGGAATGGTTAAAATACTTTGTTTTAAAGCTTTGGCAATGACTGGATAGGGAAATTGGAATCAAATCGCAGCATTGTCAAGTGGTGTTATGTTTGATTGCTTTTACTTAAGGGAGAACATTGTATCTTTATAGGTGGAGTACTAGAACATGAAGATAAATAGAGTCTGATGACAAAGTTTATAAATTGGTGTCTTTTAAGTAGAATGTGGTCAGTAAGCAAGATTTTATCTCAACTGGAGAGAAAAAAAATAAAACCAATATTAAATTAGGATATTCCTTATAAAAGTAAAGATTTTACTCTCAAAAAGGAAAAACTTTCACAGCTCTGTATTCTACCTAAGAACTGTTTGGTTGAAGCCAACACTAGGCATGGTCTTTCCAATTTGAGATTTTACCCCTTGTCTCATGATACCTACCTAGTATCTCCCTCATTATCTTACATCATTACACCCACATTTGAATTTATAAAACCTATATAAGATGAGATCATTATGAGAAAAGCAGCTACAGGATGTGGGACTAGATAGTGTCATAAATATAGCAGTGGTTTAGTTTAGAACAGAATAAGGATTCATATTTCTTGGATGCGGATTGGAAAGAGAATAATATGGGCCATTATAAAATGAAATATTTGCAGCATTATTCACAGTGGCCAAGACTTGGAAGCAACTGAAGTGTCCTTCAATAGATGATTGGATAGAGAAGCTGTGGTACATATATACAGTGGAATACTACTCAGCCATAAACAATGAACTACAGTCATTTGCAATAATATGGATGGATCTTGAGGATATCATGATAAGCAAAATAAGTCAGACAGAAAAAGTCAAGAACCATATGATTTCACTCACATGTGGAATATAACCCTGAAAGCAACAAATAATGCAAACTGATAGACATAGACAATAGTATGGTGGTTACCAGAGGAAAAAAAGAGGTTGGGGAAGGTAGTATAGGGTAAAGAGGGCAAATACATGGTGACTGATAGAAGGAGATTTGACTTGGAATGGTAAATACTTAATACAATATCATAGAATTGTACACGTAAATCTATATACTTTTATTAACCAATGTCACCCTAATAAATTTAATAATAAATACATAAACAAAATAAAATATTTGAACTATAAAGATGTCTTGAAGGAGAACTTTAAAATTAAATGATTTGGCAAGACAGGAGAAAATTAAATAAGGCTATACAGGTCAGGTAAAGGAAGGTAATGGAAGATAGCCAAGTAAAATAGCACACTGTAATTGTTTAATTAATATATCTAGAATGCTAAATAATATATCAGATAAAGTAAAATCTAATAAGTAAATTAAATAAGTAATTGGCAATAGTTTAATTAGTGTATCTGGTCATGCTTTCCTAGTATCTGTACAAAAATGAATACTTTAGATGTGCATGAGGCTACAGAGGTGTGTTTTGCAGTTATTAAGATATTCCAGCTAAATGTATTAAGCATAAATTGACCCAAGCAGTTTATTATTGTAACTTTATAAATTAATAAGGGTTGTATTTATATCTTTGTGGGTAATCTATTTTCAATTATAATAGCTGATAATAATAAGTAAAATATTAATACTCTTTTCATATGGCTCTTGTAACAGATAAAGAAATAAACAATAAAACACTGAGCTAATATTGAATCATGCATACAAAATTGACACTTCCTTACAAGGAAATAATAATTTGTAAAACTATTACTGCACAACATGCAAACAGTTCATTAAAATTATAATTGACTATACCAGTAGTGATCAGTGATTATTAATCAGTTTGAAATTTATAATAAAAAATTTAGAATACAAAGTCATACTAAACACTAATTGTATTTTGGATTAATTGTTTTCTTTGTTTTGTTTTGTTTTCCTCCCCCACATCTATAGCATTTATGAAGAACTATATTACTTTGTGCCTGTGAGTGGGTGTGGGCATATTTTATAAGTGTTTTCAAAATTCTTCTTTGAGGTTTTCGATAAAGATTTTACCACTAATAATTTTTATCTTACATGATTGAACCATGCTTACAAACCTTTTTCATTTTAAAAATCTCATCAAACTTAAAATGTTCTTGTGACATTCCTCATAAGTTATTTATTTATTTACATTAAAGTGTAAAACTGTCACTGAAAATAAATTGTTTTTCCTTACATTTATAAACACGATTTTTTTATTACTAATAATTCCAGCCCTATATGTACTTTGCTACATTCATAAGCATATCAAGAATGGATTCAGATATATTCAGCAAACAACTGTATCTCTGGGGAGCTGCAAAAGAGAAAGGATTTCATGTATTGGTTCATTGTATTTTGAAGACTCATCATGATTTAGGGGAGTTTATTCATTCTACAGTTTATTCATTCTATTTATAATTAAAATAATTAAGTAGATTAAAGGCTTGATTTATTGGTACTAGTTTGTTCTTTATTATTGTAAGCTAAGAAATGACACATTTAAGATGTTGTGAGAAAATCTGTGAACATTGTATTGAGATATCATTTGGTCACGTCCCACATGTGTGACTTGACTTTGTTTTTCCCACCTTTGAGTTGTTTTTCATCTATCCTATTTTCTCATTTTTCATATGTTGAGTAGAAACCTAAAGAATTACAATATCATATACGGATATATAGAAATGTACCAGATCAGCTACTCATCAGGACAGATTAAGCACATTGTAATTAGTCAGAAAAAATATTTTCAACTCTTAGTATTACCACATATCAAAGTTCCTAAACAGAAAAGCTAACAGGTCAATTAAACATAACTGCAAATTTACATGTGCTTACCTGCAAAAAGGAATGTGCTGTTGCCTTCATCAATTTACTTTCGAAAAAGGTCCCCAAACACTTCTACTTTCTTTGTTCAGTAAGTGACCAGTCGAACACATCTTCAGTCACACAGCTTCATAGTAGTAGAGTCAAGCTTCAAAGCCAGGCCTCTCTATTTGGCAAATGTATACTATTAAATGCATCTTTATGAAGTACACAGTGCTTTTTATGCACTGAAACAAAATACATATAAGATAATATAAATCTAATTTTACCAAATGCTGGGTCAAATATTAAATGGCCATCTGAGGTGTCAATTAAACTTTAAAATGCTTTTCTTCAAGTATTTTGAGACAAGCATTTTATTTTGATACCATAGAGAACCCTAAACTCAGAAGCCTGAACCAGCTACAGGTTATGTACATTCAGAACTCTGAGACACGTTTCTCGTGGAAATAACCTTTTGGAACAACAACAACAACAAAAGTGTGTTCTCTGCTTTTCGTAGGCATAATAAAACACTTGGCTCTTCTTAAATTATTTTTCCTTTTTAGTAAACCATATAAGTAACAACTGAATTGATTTAGGGATTTTTGTCTGGAGTTAAAAGTTTGCAAAAACTGATTTCTAATATGTGTCATAACCTAATTTGCTTCTCAACTTGAGGTACATTCCAACTGTTAAGTTTTGTCTCACTACTTACTGATGGCGTCAACAATGTTGTTTAGATTAACTTTTAGTTGCCAGGGCAGGAATGTTTGTTGGGACAAGAAACCTGCAGAGAAGAAAGAGTGGCACCTGGTGATAGGTTAGCGACAGTTAACATTTCACAAGTGAAAACAATGTTTAGTAAATTAAGTCTCTGAGACTCTGCAGCTGCTATTTCAAGTGACGGGTGTTGCTGAAAGGGAAGTTCTAGTTGAAAATTCAGTTGAAAAGTTTCTGTATAGGATCTATTTCTGTCAGTTTAACAGTAAACCAACCATATAGTTTAAGCCAGTATTGCCTACCCAAAAATGATCTTTATGACTAAGTTTTTTAGTCTCACTGAAAGTGA